AAAAGCCATTCGAGTGTTGGGTGTGTGTAAAGCCATCAGAATGTTGAGCTGGTGGAAAAAAGCCATTCGAGTGTTGGGTGTGTGTAAAGCCATCAAAATGCTGAGCTGGTGAAATAAGCCATTCAAGTGTTGGGTGTGTGTAAAGCCATCAAAATGCTGAGCTGGTGAAAAAAGCCATTTAACTGTTGGGTGTATAAAAAGCCAACGAAATGTTGATCATGCAACTTAATTCTTGTTATTTTGATATTAGATAATGCAGAGAGGTTTCCTATCGAGTATTCCTATCCTGCAACCTACCAAGATGAAAATCTAAATGCAGGTATGTTAAGATAATAAACAAAACCAACAAATTAGTATCATTTTGACATTATTTTGTAAATATTACTTCCATTGTCGCTTAGTCGTGTAGGTGAAGAAAAACGCGCTCAGTTTTACTTTAGACGTAATGCTTCATTGAAACATTTGTTACAGTCGTATCAATAATCCGTTACATTCCTCCATCCCCTAAAAGAAAAGAGGTTATGTGATGGGCAAATGAGCCGTTGCTCTTAGCTGACCCTGTAATCCTTAATTCAAGTGTTGGTAGTAAAATACTCAAAGGATTGACACGTGGTCTGATAATGATGCTTGATTTTTACGAACCTAACAAAACCACACAACTGAAACGAGTTTCATTGAAGGATTTTCCCTCCTTCATCAATTATAATTATTACATCATAATTAATGAATATTAATAGCCCATTAGTATTTTATTGAGTATATTTCTAATGATATTTCAGAGTCTTATCATCGAGGGAGATACAAATATCAGCATCCTCCCAAATACACTGTAGAATATATCCAAGATTTTGATGGTATGTAGTCATCAGGGAAATATTCACAATTCTCCATTCTCCGCTAAACCCAACACGCTAAATTCCAATGCGCCATGCCCTGACTTAGATTAGAGCAGAGGTTGTTTCAGGGTTCAAACTATGAGTTAGCCATGCCCTGACTTAGATCAGCCCAGAGGTTGTTTCAGGGTTCTATCTGTGAGTTAGCCGTGCCCTGACTTAGATTAGCACAGAGGTTGTTTCAGGGTTCTATATAGGTGTGGGTTAGACGTGCCCTGACTTAGATCAGCCCAGAGGTTGTTTGAGGCTTTGATCTATAAGTTAGCCGTGCCCTGACTTAGATTAGCACAGAGGTTGTTTCAGGGTTCTATGTGTGAGTTAGCCATGCCCTGACTTAGATCAGCCCAGAGGTTGTTTCAGGGTTTGATCTGTGAGTTAGCCATGCCCTGACTTAGATCAACCCAGAGGTTGTTTCAGGGTTTGATCTGTGAGTTAGCCATGCCCTGACTTAGATCAGCCCAGAGGTTGTTTCAGGGTTCGATCNCAGGGTTTGATCTGTGAGTTAGCCATGCCCTGACTTAGATCAGCCCAGAGGTTGTTTCAGGGTTCGATCTGTGAGTTAGCCATGCCCTGACTTGGATCAGCCCAGAGGTTGTTTCACGATTTGTTTTGTGAGCTAACTGTGAGTTAGCGGTTTTCTAACCATAGTTCAGCCCAGAGATTGTTTCAGCATATTGATAAAATGTGTGAAATATTAAAAAATAAAGCCGAAAAGAAAGATATTCAATTCAATTTTCAATATTTTTGTAACAGAAAACAAATACGAGAAAACAACGATAACATTTTGAGACACAGTACGCTGCTGCCTGTTTTATTAAAAGAAAAAAATAAAGCCGCTGAAATTCGTTATTGGGATGCCTGCTTCAACTCTTGCAAAAGCTAATTAATTTTGTCAATACCAAGCAAACCAGTGAATGTTTTCAGTTGTTTTGTTATTGTTGCTGTTTAATCAAAACACATCGTGTTTGGAGGTGGACAGTAAGCCGTACGTATGGTGTGGGATGTATTCACGTGTCGAGCAGTGGTTAAAGCACTCGCCTCTCTCCAAACACCCAACCATCACATGATTATGTGAATCTGTCCTACTTTTGAAAATATCTTTGAGTAACATTACTTAATAGTTTTATTTTGTGAGCATTTTTTTCTCTCTTCATCAAAAATATATTAAACCTTTCCTAAACTATCGTAACTTTTAGCCCATGTCCTATCTTAAATATCGTTTTTGGGGACGTTCACAAGCGCAAATAAAGTAATTGTATTCTATTGAAATTGATTTTGATACATCATAACGTAAGGTACAAATAATTGACTAAAAACATGTCGGCCATCAGTGGGAAAAAATTGCGCGTTTTGTGACCTTGCTTGATATATATTGCTTTATCAATGTCAAGGTCTTGAAGTTTATTCCTTGAATATGATCTATTCTTAGTATTAACTAATATTTATCATTAATACAATTGTACAATCACTTGTATATGTAGTTATGTTCTATTTGATCAGACTTATCAACTCAACATTACCTTAACGAGTGATTATTTTTCTCTGCAGAGTCAGAAGAGGGCCAAGTATCAGCCGTGTAGCGCCGTACAAACTGAATCAATAAAAATATTAGGGATTATTAGAACATTTTAGACTTCAAAAAGTCGTTATTATTACGTGGTTTTACAAGCATTGCTTGGAAAACCTTCACGTTCGTTTTCCCGCCCCTATAGACGAAAGTGAACGAAAAATTATTTTAAAAATAGTTGACCTAATAAGGCGGGCAATTCAAACTGAAAGCTTCAGTGGTTGGATATCATAGCAATCCAGTCTTCAAGTGTTGTACCACGCTGATTCTAGTCGACTATGAGAATATGAAAGATCTGAATGATACTGACATAAAGAGCCGTATATTTTTTATTTTATCATCATTATTATTAGAATAATATTAATGTTATTACTAGAATATAGGTGATATAAATTTCCCTTTATGAACAAACTGTTTCGTATCCTATTGTAAATATTCTGCCAACCAAACTGCATATTAAAAAATCATTTTATAATAAAAAATTTATCGGTTTAGTTACTTTGTCACACTTTTTTTCCATCTTTCTCCGTATCGATGTGCATGTGAGAAAGTTCTGGTAAAGACATTGTGATTTTGGTCAAAAACTACGATGAAAAAAGACAAAAAGATTCGGCAAACTGAATACACAGAATTTAGAATATAAATCTTCCAAAAACAAAAAGACCTCCAAAATTAAAAAGGTTTTGTAAAAATTGGGTAAAAACTCCAAGTACCATGTCGTTTTTGCTGTTGATATGTTTATTTTAATATTTGAAGAGTCGGAGATATGGGAACCCATGTCAGTGTTAGTGCACCGATGGTAAGGGAAGCCACGTTAAGTGTTAGTACACCAATGGTAAGGGATGCCATGTCAGTGTTAGTGCACCATGTTAAGGGAAGGCATGTAAGCATTAGTACACTAGTAATGGAAGCCATGTAAGTGTTAGTGCACCAATGGTAAGGGAAGCCATATAAGTGTTAGCACACTGGAAAGGGAAGCCATGTCAGTGTTAGTGCACCAGTGGTAAGGGAAGTCATGTCAGTGTTAGTGCACCAATGGTAAGAGCAGCCATGTAATTGATTGTGCACCAATGGTAAGGGAAGCCATTTCAGTGTTAGTGCACCAGTGGTAAGGGAAGTCATATCAGTGTTTGTGCACCATTGGTAAGGAAAGCCACGCAATTGATTGTGCACCAATGGTAAGGGAAGCCATGTCAGTGTTAGTGCCCCAGAGGTAAGGGAAGTCATGTCAGTGTTAGTGCACCAGTGGTAAGGGAAGCCATGTCAGTGTTACTAAACTTTTAAAAAACGTCATACAGTACGTTATACAAAGAAAATAGTATAAACCAACTTATAAAAAAGCTATTAAAGAATCATTATTTTTTTAAAACGAAACTAAGAGATACGTTTAAAACAACGGAGACTCACGCACATTGCCGTCGTTCTCGGGGATTCCCCAGAGCTAAGTTTACGTTTATCTTCAAGCTGACGCCAGATATATGTTTGATTTGAGACGGTTTCGTGGAACTTCAAGTACGTTTGACAGCTTTTCAGCCACTACTATTTTTGTTCACACATTGGTTGATGTTTGGTTATTATACTACTATGTATTATGCTCAGTATATTTTCATGGGACAAGTTAAATCACTCTGCACATTCACAGTACCGAACTACTGGTACTTCAGCACATCTATCCACCCCCATCATCATCATGACATCAACTGAGTATGCAAAAAAGATAGAAAGTTTATTTAATATCCGGACTAGACGATCCGTCCAGTCATTTCACAGCCAATTGACAGTTCTTCTCGCTAAAAGCAATTAATCTATTACTTTTAGCATACAGTGTTATGATCGTGATTTTAACACACGCTTGAGAGCTGAAAATAAGACTCCTGCAAGCCTCGATACGCCTGTCTAGGTGGTCGAACTAATATCATGACGTCATTAGTGTCTAAAAATAGCAACAAAGTTACAATGCAGTTTGTACTAAAAGTATTGGAATAAAAAAAGGTCAAAAGGACAAAAAAATGTGTACTTGTTCTCTACTCTAGGTCAAAGAAATTGTGTAGCTTGAGAAACATTCTTTATTTTGTTGAATTTGATCTTCTGTTTGCATCGAGTTAGCTTCTATAATACCCCTTTAAGCCTTTTGACAAACTTGCAATTCAGCATTTACATAATTTTGCATCGTTCCACAATCCAGTACAGGAAGAGCATTTCATCCAGAGGGTAAGTTTCTTTAAATACCAAATGATACTTTATATCATATAAAACACTAAACCCAGAGTTTCTGAGAAGGGAATATTCCCTAATTTCCATATTCCCAAAAATAACCTTCTAGGCCGGAAGCATTACATCATGGTTAAGAAAGGTCACATGAGTGTTTTTGACCAATCATGTTGCGTATATTGACTAGGGGAAGTCCCAGGGACATTCCCTTTATTGGCCAACGGTTTGCTTCTACTGCTAGGAGTTTCGCTTTCCTCATAGAGGAAGCTTGGATGCCTTTTTAAGCCAGTCTACACTTCAGTTTTATCATTTATAGGATACTTCATCAACAGTTCAAGGTATTGTGAATTGACATTGCAAATCAGGTGTTTTTAGGGGTTTGTTTTTGTCAGCTTACACGTGCCGTGTTGTGGAACGTTGGATCAAGATTGATTTCCTACCCTTTTGGTTGGTATTTTTCATCCAATTTCTGTATTTTTCCCTTACTTATTCCCTCAAAGATCAGGTTAGATCTTTGCTTTCGTTACTGGATAGGAATCGAAAGCGTTAGCCATGAGTACGAGAGCTCCTGTCCTACTTACAAACTTGTCTTTTATTCTTGTTTTTTTCTCCTCAAATGCAACTTTATTTTGGACGTCGTACTCTTCAAACTCGTAGTCATTCGTACACAGTTTTGTACCATTTGTTATTCTTTCTGAAATATACAATGTATCAGTACAATTTACTGAGTTAATTTAAGTATTCATCCAAGGTGTATAGTTGCTTTGATAGCTAGTTATTAGTGCAAATTCAACTCTACTCCTCTTTTAGTCGTTGTATTTTTTTCGCTGACACTAAAACAAAACTTTATCAACACAAGGAAATATCCACTAAGATACTTGAATGAAAAATAGATATTCTTTGAATCTTTGAGTAGAATTTTTAAGTCGAAGTTCAAAGCCTTCAACGATGAAATCACTCAATCGACATGTATATATATATATATACTAGAGTAGATTATTCAACCTGTACATACAGCTACACCCTTTATGTGCCTTATACTCAAGCCTATACCTAACTATACTTATATATCCTTCCCATACATTATGTCGCTTCAGGGACACATGGCTGAAATACCATTATCTAAGCCGGCCTTAATCAATCATTTTCAGTTAACATTAATATATCATTAACTGACTGCAGTCAAGGCAAGACACAGCTCTGTTAACACAAACCTTATACAAGTCTTTTTTATTTATAAACTAATATTTTATTCTATAGTATTAAGAGTTTTCTATTTTTGTTCAACTTCCAGGTCACCTATAAGCAGTAACGATTAAAACAGATTAGTGATATACTCAAAAAAAGGCACTGTTAAGAACTGATTGCAACCATGACGCAGTCAGAACAACAGGTTGGGAGTACGTTAACAGAAAGTATGCTCCATGAGATAATGACACCTGGTTTTCTACCAGATATATCGGCACTAAATGTTCAAATGCAGGGAACTTACGATGGTAAGTTTTAGTTATTTTATCTTCTAAACTCCAATTCAATCATGAAACAAGGGTCGCACATTTGTTAGTCACTGGATATCAAGTCCTACCCTTGAAAATTTTCTTTAAAACAAGATATTGTTCTTTTTTACAGGACCTTATTTAGAGATTCTTGAACAACCTAAATCGGTAAGTGACATTTCTTCAATTCTTTAGATCGAGTGTTTTGTATTTTTATTTTTTATTTTCAAATCAATAAGAAATTAAAAACGATCAACTCAATTAAATATAAATTAAAACTGGAATTCAAGAATGTAAATAGATGCATGTGGTTGGAGCTACAGTAGAGGACCCCTTATTAAGCAAACACCCTTCATTAAACGGACAGCTAGTTGCATGGTCGTGAGATTTCCTTCACATATTTACTGTAAAACAAACCTCCTTTTAAGTAGCACCCTCTACAGAGCTTAATATAATGGATAGTCATCAGACAATGTCCAGCCAGGATTGTAACTTGTCCAGTCAAATCTTTATGTTGCTGGTCATTTTGTCTAGTAACGTTGAGTCAGAAAGCATGTATAACTGAGTTAAAACTAATTTCTAAGATCGATCACGACCAGTGATTGTCTATTCCTTATTTTAAGCCCTGGGATAAAGCAGGGTTCTGAAAGTGTCTACTCAATTGAGGTACCACTGTAACATATCAGCCATTTATCTCTAACTTTTCTTTCTTTAGCGTGGATTCAGGTTTCGTTATCCGTGTGAAGGACCTTCCCATGGAGGGCTCCCAGGTGAATTCTCAACTCAAAAAACTAAATCTTATCCTTCAGTTCAGGTACACAACACTACATTTTATATGTCAATAACTGTGCGAGTAATGTGAGCTGCTAATGTGTCTTCTCTCACCAATACAACCTGGTATTGATTGCAGGACTCAGTGTAATATATGGGTTTATCTGCATGTTGGCTCTCTCCCGTGCTTTTACAGTTTTTCTCCTTTTTTTTCCTTTTTAAAAATCAACTCTTAAATTTCAATAAGATCTGGCATCAAGTGCTCAAGTGATGAGCTTCTGCTTCAGGATACTGAGTATTCACTCCCTTTATATGTTCAACGGAATAGACATCATTACACTTACAATCAATGATAAATATGTATATCTTATTGCGTTCAATACTTTTATACTCCAGCTGAATAACTACCGTGGGCCATGTCGAATAGTGGTTTCCTTGGTAACAGAAGAGGAACCTTATATGCCACATGCGCATAGTCTAACTGGCAAGAATGCCAGCAAAGAGGGAATAGTTACTGTACAGATTGGACCAGAACAGGGAATGTCAGCAAGGTACATATGATGATAGGATTTGTATGAAGGTCGAAAGGGAATCATCAGTAGCACACTTGCCTCTCATCTCTGGGGTTCTTGGTTCGATTATCTTACTCAGCATCACATACAAGGAATTCAAGGGTGGTGTAGTATTAGTACACTCACCTCTTACCTCTGGGTTCTGGGGTTCTATTCCTGGACTCTGTATCACATACATTATTCGAGGGTTTTTCTCTCTCCGGGTTCTCTAGTTTTCCTCCCTCTGCGAAACCTACAGTAACTTGCTAAATTCCAACTGAATCTATAATTAGCCAGTTGTTTCAGAGGTTTTGTCAGTTTAAAATTTGACAAACTTCATTACCAAAGAATAGTCTTTCATATCCACATACAGTATAATTTATAGCTGATGTACTGTACAGTACATATAAATATCCTTTAACTTAATATCTTTCAATATTTCTCTCCAAAGCTTTCCAAACCTTGGAATTCAACATGTGACAAGAAAAGCTGTGGCCAAAACATTGTTAGAAAGATACACGAAAATGCAAGAATTGCAGTCACTTACAATGTCAGTAATGAGTACGACACATAATGACCCAGCGTCACTGTTTGGTATAAGTGGACTTGGTGCACAACATGCTGCTGGAACAGATAACAAACCATTTGACAAGAATCTTGCGCTGTCTGTTGCTGGTATGTTTGGTTGATACTTTGCATACTGATTTACAGCTAGTGGGAGAAGGGGGGGGGGGGAGGTTAGAGACTTCTGTTATCTGCCTAATGCCTAGGGTCAGAGATCTGAGTATGCTCTGTACATAACTGAGCAAAATTCTCTGGATTGAGCTAATATGATCCACTCTTATTACTTCAAAACTTAATGAAAACCCAGTATTTTGTTTTTCCTAAGGTCTTATATAGTTTCAGACTTAGGCTGATTATGAGGGTTTTTTTTAGCAGAACAACAAAAATAACTCATTGATTTAAGAAATTAATAGTATCGCATAACAAGGGTTTGAGGAAGTTGATGTTTGACTACTGTATTTTTTTAAACATTTATTCCAGATGAAGAAGCTAAAAAGATTCGTAAGATGGTAGATGACCAAGCAAAACAGATGAACCTTAGCTGCGTCAGACTGTGTTTCCAAGCATACCTACCTGACGATAATGGAAACTTTACGAAACCATTAAAACCATGTATATCAAATGCTGTTTATGACTCAAGTAAGTATAGTCTTAGAACCAGTAAATACAGGTGTAATTGTTTATTTGATTTACAGTACTACATTCTGATTCCACATTGTGCGAATCCTTTTCATTAGACACAATTTTTTGGGTGCATAAATTGTAACACCATTGTCTTGTCACTCCCCAAGGAGATAAAAAAACAGTCTTTGTTTTTTCGAGGGTACATGTAGCACAGACATTGCTTAATAAACATGTGAACCATTGGCTAAAACATTTGAATAAGAAAAAAATATAGACTTCATGTACTACCATTTAACAAAAGAAATTACACTCAAAAGAATGACACATGGAGTTAAATGTGACATTATGCCTAAACTAAAGAGAAGGTAGAAGATATAACTAGCTAAAAACTAGTGTGAGCTGCGTCAGTGTTTCTAATGAAACAGTAATGATAAAAAGGTAAATTATACACYGTGAAAAGACGTTTCGGATGCTAGTCCTTCGTCGGAGTAAAAAAGGGGTACATGAATATGACTACAACTCAAACAAAGAATCTTATTCTCAGAAAATGATACGTGGTCTGAAATGGGAAAACATTACACTCAAAGTAGAAAGGTCTGTAAAAGAAATAATACTCAAGGGAATGAGGCATGGTCTGAAATGAGAAAACATTATGTTCAAAGTAGAAGGGTCTATAAAAGAAATAATACTCAAG